TCATACATAAAGATTGTTAACTTTAGATTTGACGGGTGTAAAGAAATGAAACAAAAACAAATGTCAAACAAAATGTTCCTTGATTCACACAAGATACCAAAATGGCCAAAAGGATGAATCAGATTTAACTGCTTCATTAGTGGGGTGCAAATGGATCGTCACTGAGAATGTCTGGTAGTATCTTGTGGTATCTTTGCATTTATTACCAGGAAATACATATTACAGATACCGGTACTGACAAGATACTGATCATGTATTATTGCATTGTAAGTAATTTGTCAAACTTTAAAATAATTTTTCAATTTTTTGCTGTTTTAACAGGAAATTTTGACATTATAAAACATTAATTACCCCCCCCCCCCCCCCTTTCCAAGTAAAATATATGGTCACTATCCTGACTTTTAATGTTTTTAATATTTATTTAATTTATTCATTTATTTAATTAATGTATGTTAATTTTTAAGTTCATGATTACGTTTGTTAAACTGTATGTACAGCTTGGTGAGCCCAGCCCTGGGGTACCGCGCCATTTAAAACCACCACTAACAATAATAATATTAATATGCAAAAAAAAATCATTGTTTATTAATGTATTCTCTGCACTATTTGATAAAAAACTACCTAATGGCTACTTTCATTTGCAAAAATTTCTATGCACCAAATTCTTTTGCAGCATCGCTGCAGAAACTAGCATAATATTTACTTTTTTTTTTTCTCCATTATTTAGGGACTAACATAAGAGGCGGTGAAAAAGTGACTAGGATATTTTTAACACAAACTGATTAAATTGAAAAAATTCTTCCAACACTTTGATGTTAGATACACAATTATATTCCTTGAGATTTACAGTAGAGAATGTGACAAGTCAATTATAGTAGAGCAATGGCACAAGCTGATCTCACACACACATGTAATCAATTTTATATACAAATTACATCAAAGCACAACATTATATAAAAGGCAAGCTCATGGAATTTTTTTTTTGTATGAATGTTACAAAGACAAATGGTGAAAAACAAAAGAATACCAAATTTAAAACTTGAGATAGTCAAAACTAAATTTTGGGAGCAATCATAATTGGTACTTCAAATTTATAAAAGACTTGAAGAGCTTGACAGTTTGAGATCAATTCTTTTTGTAAAGCCCAACAAGTTTGGTATTAGTGTAAACAAAAACTAGGTCCCACAGTCACATCACATAGGATAATTGGTCACTTATGACAAAACTGTTTGCTAACATTAAACTTGCTTAAAGGCTTGTCTCTAGGGTGGAGTTTCACCATTCACTATATAAGGAAGTAAAAAAATAAATGGACTAATGAAGCTACTAAGTTTATTGACCTGGTACATGTTCACAAATCTTTAAACAAATATTTATACCAAATAACATGAAGTACAAAGTATCATAAAATGCCATCCAGAATTTAAGAAAAACTAAAAATGCTGTTTCCTAAAAAAAAATATGTACATTTTAACTAAAGAATTGGACATAAAAATATGCAAGCTGTATTTATTTTATAAGTTTATATAACTATTTTAACTATTCAGAAGTCACCTAAATGGTTGTTATTGTTAAAATAAAAAAAATAAAAAAACAGAACTTTCATTTTAACATCATTTCAAGCACTAGACTTTCCAATTAATATTGAAATATATTTAAGCAGAGTTATTAAAAATATTAGCCTGAGAGGCATAAACTACTACAATTTATCTACATGGATTGATAGTTACAATTGTCTTGTGTCAACATGTGTGTTTTTGGGCGTTTAAAGATTTATCAGAATATGGCAAAAGGTAAATAATGAATGCCAGTTAATGTTAAATGCTTTCTTGATTAAGCAATGTACATGCAAATTTAACAAAGTGTACAATACATTCCAGCAGCAAATCTAATGAATTTCATAACAGGACAACAAGGTTCAGGGAGGAACTACGTATATTAAGAGATAAACAAGTAGGTACTCATCCTAGTAATTAAAAGACAATTTCTAAGGCATCTAAAATAATAAAATAATCCCAAATATTCTATAAGAGCTGGTACATATTCAACTCTTCCTGGGATTCTTAGCTCAAACTTTGATTATTCTGATACTTAATAAACCAGTGATTTTAAGAGTATGCCATACATTATTTTATGCCCATGAAAGTATAAAGAGAGATTACTATTCATAAAAAAATTTATTAAGGAACAATTTTTATATTTTTGCAGGGCAGCAAATACCATAGTTCATCCAAATATATTTTTTATATTTCCATTAATATTTTATACACTCACAACAAAATACATCTTTAAAGTGCACAATTTTGTTAATCAATCCTAAGGAAAAGAAGAAATAAATAGCCTTAACTTGAAAACCAAGTTTGATTAAAAGTTTCAAGCCTCAAAATATAATTTGAATGAGTTTATTAGTATTAGAAATATCTGTGGGTAAGTAAAACTGAAAGACCGAAAGCTGATTTCCTTTATATATATATATAAAAAAAATGCCTATGTTAAAGATTCAGATCTTGTCATCTTGTGATCACCCTAGTGTAAACAAATGTGAGGTACAGACAATGCAGTAACACAAATACATTGGAAACGGTTTATATATTTTTTTTTATATTATTGACTGCACATCAATAATTTTATACAAATTACTACCACCAATGTAAATTTTATGCATCACACTATAAAGGCATTAAATTAGTGAGTCTTGTAGTTCAACATTGTGAGATAGTTTTTTTAACTCTTTCGCTGCGGAATTTTTTCATCGAAAAAATGTAGGTACATTTTTTTTCGAAGATCGGAAAAAGAGTGAGAGGTTGGGTTTATTAAAAAATATTTAAAATATTATTCTTTGGTTTATAAGACTAAACTTAGTATCAAATGAAAGGTAATTGAAAGGACTATATATTTGTACACTAGTTTCTACAGTTTAAAAAAAATAAGTTACACGAAAGAACCATAAAATGTGAAAACATTATATACTAAACCAGTTTTTCCCCAACCCCAACGATGAACGCATAGCTCATCTTCAATTCTATAACTCAATTCCTCTAAAACTACTACCATCGGAATCATGCGATGCATCTAAATATAAATCAAATCGCTGTTAAAAGAAATATTATAAAACAATTTCAAAGCTTTTAAACTGTTAATCCACTAGAAAACTTACCTACTAAGAGCATAGGGTAGCCATAGCAACAGAAAAAAAAAAAAAAAAAAACGCGAAGAAAATCGTCAAAATAATGCTTCAATTGACAATAAATAAGCCTTGGTTTCGATTGTAAACAATGAAGTACCACTCTGTAAAAGTCTTATTTAAAAATAGCTCTTAAAAAGTTTAACCGAGAAATAGCAAAGAAAGAAACATGATATTGAAACAACGCACAGCGCGTTGGTCCGTGCTTTTGAGAACGGCGGAAGAACAGTGTGCGTTTTTCCGCATCGAAAGAGTTAAACCAAATACACAATATAACTTTTAAATGTCAATTACATATTTTTGTTATTTTTTATTCCAATACACTAACTATGCACCAATAATATTCTTTCAGCACTCAAGATTGGGTGAACACCCATGTCATGGTGAAAACTATATTTAAAATTAAAAACTTTTAATTGACTAACTCAGTGCAGTTTAATATCAGAAAGGCAAAAGCATAACCAACATATTTCCAATCAGACTAGTAAAATCTCTGCCCAGGGGAATCTTCAAGACCTTAGTTATTCAAACTTAAATTAGATTTTAAGGCTGTGATTAAAATAAGGCAAATAATTATTTTCTTAGGACCACCACAAATATTCCTCAAAATTAAAGAGCATAATAATAATAATAAAATAATTTTATGGATACTATGTGATTAAAATCTGTCGTACCATCCTCAAACCTGTCTACTAAATACATTTTTTAAAATAAAAAAATTTCCCATTCACTATTACAAATATAAACTGATAAAAAAAAAGAATGTTGGTAAATGTCAACACCTAAACTTGAAACATTTTTATGAAAATGTATTTATAGACACATCTATCTTTACTGACCTATTGTATAAGCCAACCCTAAGTAAATATTAGGAAAGCTCATGTATAGAGATAAAAAACTTAAACAAAAATGAAGGGAACCATATGATATTGCACTCTTTATTATTTGCAACAATTAGCAGTCATTTATTTAGTTGGACTTCATATTTGTCTTGGAAATTTGCAGTGGGAGATGGTAATAAATGGTAGGAGCTGAAATATCTGGCCTTTCAGAATTTGAATGATATAAACTCCTAGCTGTTGTATTAAGTTTATTGTGTAACACCTCTTGTCAGGAATAACACAAACATTATTACGAGTAAATCTATACATAACACTTGTTACAAATAAACAGCATTGTGAATTTAAAAAATACTGAAAGGTTAAAGCATATTACATAGGAGAGATTTTAAAAATAAAACTGGCAGGGATTTTTTCTTGACAACCATGACATTAGTTATTTATAAAAAAATTAAAAAGCTATGAACCAAATCAACAATAATGCATCTAAAAAATTCAGTTATCATACTAACTTTGAAAATATTCAGAAAATATTTAACTGGCAAGCACTTAAAATTAAACCTTTGCTGCTAATTGTAACTTTTTAAGACTCAATTTTCTATCTTGTTATTAGGTAATAATGGATATAGGGCAAACAAATGACTTGTTAAATAAAAAAAAAAGGACAGACATAATATTTCTGAGTAAAGTAACTGGTAATTTTGTCACAATTGCTAACGTTTTTTTTGAAGTTACATAATTAAAATGTTATGTCACTATTCAATGAAACTTTCGTGTGTTAAAAAAAATGGTAATTAAATAGTTTAATGATGTCAAGTTAATATGGTAATATTAAGAAGAAACCAGTTAAAATGCCCCCTTTGTACAGAAGAGAATTCAAAAGAAAATATATGGCCCAGATCATCCTTTAAGGCTTATATTGTGAAAAAAGTAATCTCAATACAAAAAATACAATCATAAATGCAGGTAACAGAATAGGAGGGTTTGAGCATTATTTTCAATCTTTGAAAATATGTACACCATTTCAGCTTACTTAGAAATTTTTTTATGGCAATTTAACAACATCTTATGGTGCTAAAATCAGCAGATATATAGTTTAACTTTCCAATTTACATTCATGCTAAATTAATCTGTGTAATTACAGTGCCAATATTTTCTGTACATGCTTTATTATTCATTCGGTGCCAAAATATTTTTGTCCAAAGTGAGTTGGAGCAACCGGGTGAACCTCTGATGTAAGGATTGTCATCCCTGGGAACTCTGAAACCAGCTGGTGTGCAGCTAGGACAAGTAAACATCAAATAGTTTTGATTTACTCTTATTTAAATTCATACATTAAAAAAAAAAAAAAATTTGGTGATGCTTTTTAACAAAAGTTTCTATTGCTGCCTTAAAAAGACAGTTTAAAATTATTAAGTCATCACTACTAAATATAAAAGCTGGTTACTTTTAAACTGCCTTCAGTGATCAGAGGACAACATAGATAAATTTATTAAGGTTATAGATAAAATTAACTGAAGGTACTCACCAGTGGGTGTGCAGAACAAATTTAACAAAATTATGTTTGATTCATTCACATTATTTTCTTGTAATATTTTCACAGCTGTTATGACAGTGTTGCCTGTGCCTGAAATATTAACCATGAAATTAAAACTTACTTCCCCCTGATAATGGATATAGCAATATAAATTATTGTTATTTGTAGGAAATAACATCCGTAATTGCTTTTTTAAAAATAAAAATAAAATGGTGCTCATCTGTTAAAATACTAGATAAGTTTACACTTACACATTATTGGGTACATAAGTAGCACTTTTCGCTGGTTAATGTCCTTGGGCAGATTAGCATAGACAACTTTGGCAATGTGTGTATCTTCATTGCTTTGTATTAAAATTTTCCCTATCCTGAGGGACCGACAGCAGTCTCTTAAACCTTGCTCCATGGCTTCCCCTAAAATCAAAAAAATGTTACATTATAATCAAATAATTGTAAATAGCACTTTTTGTGAGTTATAACCAAGTCCATCCACATTAACTTTCACAAAATATTGTGCATTGTCAACTCCTTATTGTTGCTAAATAAATAATATAAAATGAACTTAATGTTCATGGAATATTCTATTACATAAATAAGTAAAGAAAAAAAAAGATTTAAAAGAAATTCTTATTAATATTTAATATCCAGATATGTTGTATAAAAAAATAAGCATACCACTTCTCACAATACTGACACCACAGTTCCCCTTTTCATACCTCAGTCCATCATAAATCTGACCTGTAATACAAGTAAACATACAAATATTAAAATTTAATTTAAAAAAAAAATGGTTTATCTCGATCAAACCTGTTTTAAGCAGCCAGTATTTTAATTATTTCAAATAAAATAAAAAAAAATTAAATAATAAATATAACTCACCTGTGGGTGTAGTGACTGAACATTTTCTGTAAGGAAGTTTGTTAAGACCTTCCTCCACAATCAATCGAATCTATAATTACAAAGTAGAACATTCATGTAGTTTAGCAAATCCATATCATTCACTCGAAATTAAACTTCCTTATACATAAAACCTAATAATAAAACCCAAAAATTAAAGCTCTTAGAAATACTTGTATAAACTACAAGCTAAAGATTTCAAAATAATAAAATTATTTGATTCATTTTCAATAGACCTAATTTTTAGTAGCTTCAGGAAATTAAGGTCACTTATCCTTCCTTTGACTGAAAATATGGGCTTTGCCTTGGCTTATATATATATATATATATATTAAATAAAGAAAATAGGTCTAAGAAAAAAATTATAACAATGCATAATGCAATACAAATATACTCACTAATCGATCAGCATAGAAAATAAAATCTGTCCTTGGTGTGTTCCTAAGAAATTGAGGAAAAAACAAATAAAAATTATTCCAAAGTCCAAGAATAGTATCCATGGGCAGCAAAAGAAATGTGAAAGAAAGTAAATGAGTGAGAGAGAGATTAAATAGGGAAGAGACATGTCTCTTTTCACAGCTTGAACCTAGCTCCACCCCTCCACGTCCCAACCTATCGCAATGGACTTACTTCTCCTCTTTTCTTTCATTCTTCACCAATAATCTTTCACTCACTTTCTGTCACATTTCTTTTGCTGCCCAGGGATACTACTTCTAAGCTAAGTGCTATTTTTAAAATATTTTTTATACCATTTTTTCTGTTGTTTTCTTCGTTGACGAAGGCTTTCTGCCGACACGTTCGTTGTTTTGTTGCATTTCTTTTTTCAGGTTTAACTCTACTTTGTTTTACTAGATACTTCGATGAAACAAGGGAGACTACTACTTTTTTGTATCGGAAATGGGCGCCGGCGCAGAAAAATCAGAGTTATTTACTAATAAATAGACACACATCGGAAAATTAGAGAGTGCTTTCGACATAGATTTGAGTTCCGTTTCTGGCCTTATATTATGGCAGACATCTTGGCCTACATTTCCATCCAGCTATTTTGCTTTTTCAATCTACCTTTATTTTGAAAATCTTTGGTATATATAAGGCATCTTCGCATACAAAATTTTTTGTGAAATAAAAAGAAAAGGTCTTTCATATTAAATCGTGAAAAGCATTAGTTATTGAAGTATACGTGTGCCAATTCTCATTGATGTAGGTCGTGTTAGACGTTCTCTAGGCTTATCCCCGAGACCCACATCACCATAAGGTCGCTCAGCCTAATTTCAACATGGCATGGGCCACGCCCCCTTTTCAATGGCGGTAGTTGCCGATACTTAGGAAATATTTAAAATTTACCACTATTTACATCAAAATATTTGATAAGTTGTGTTTTAGACATTTTGAAGACATTTAAACTAGAATGTTTTAATTTGAGCTTTAAAAACCCTGTAGAGTCCATACTATAAATGATCAGAATTTTCCGTGTGCAACACGTTGTCATTGGCAACCATTCACAGCCACTTGCATAACGGCTATATCGTAGTAATAATAATAAAGTTCATTTCAAAAACATGCTTCATCCCCAAAGGCTCGAAGCGCGGTACAAAGTCAACAAAAAACAAATCTATAGTTTACCACATTTAAAACAAACGCAACACGACAAAAACTAAGTACAAGCATACAATGGCAAAGTCTTTCTAGCCATTTCAACCATAAGCAACACAGCCATTATGCATTAACTGGAAAATAATGTTGACAATACTACCTCAGAGTTTCATTCATAAGAGTTTGCCGTGTGCAAAAACTATTAAAATTAAACCATTGGTCAGGGAAAGCTTTAATTAATTATTATGTGCCAATGTTGAAAGTTTAAAATTAAGTCGACCCTAAACAGTATTTATGTGATAAGGGGATGTTTTGCCTTAAATAAACTATATAGTCATTGGGCATGACGCGATCAGCGGAATGAGGTCACAGAATGTGGAGATGCAGTCCATGTTAAAAAAAGGACAAACCAAGTCGTACTTTAAAAATTCATAACTTTAAAACTACAACAGCTAAAAATATGATTTTGGAGTTATAATTCATTAAAAATTCGCTCTATTCAAATATGCCATTGGTTTATTTTTACAAAATGTTTAAATTTTCGACAAAAGTACCTAGACCTAGTTTTACTCATTTTTATATTTACTTTCAACCAACAATAACAAAATATTAAAATTAAATATTTCAGGAATTCCCTGGTCCCTAGCCATATTCAAATAATTTATTAAAAAAATGTTTTTAACAAAATAATGTATAGTAGTGGCAAAAATGTGTGTTTGATTATTGTTACCGTTTTCAGCTTAAACAAACATTAACTTAGGCCCTACTTGTCACGGATAACAGTTTGCAGCTCCCGCACTCCTTCTGTGGCTCGTAATTTGATAAAATTGGGACCGAAATTGTATTCATCGAGATCCTTATTTTCTGCCTCATTAGTTGGCACCTTACAGTCATCTATTGTTTTAGTTAAAGGAATGACATCGGGCTCCATTGTTTGTAAACAAACAGTTTTCTGTCTCTCTTCCTCGTGGTGCTCCGGCATGACTCCTTTTTCCTTGTAACGTTTATTAAAAAAAAACTCTTAGTCAATTGTTGTTTATCTGGTATTGCATCTCTCGCGGTGTCAGGCCAAAGTTAATTTTAGTGCATTTGTCATCTACAATATTAAAAAAAATACAACCACTTCATTTAATATGATCCATTAAAATTGAACTTTCTGGTCTAGTGTTTGTTTTAAAATACTTGCTTATATCAAAATTAATGTAACCAAAACTCCGAAAGGCAAACTTCAAATTTTGATTACTGAACTAATGCAATACATGTAATAAAATTGTAGGTCGATGGATTCAGTTCTGTTTAATATTTAGTTCCAATAATTAAACAACTTGGCATATAAACATTTTTATTCTCATTTTTTCGGTTAAATATTTAAGGAGCATCACAAAATATGTGTTAAGCATTATTATAGTAGAACAGACAAATCAGCAAAGAAAAATTGCGTAATAAATTCTACCACTGTTGTATCTAGTAAATAAACGCCTAACCGGCTACCACGCATGATGAAAAAAAAACAACATTTTTATATGCAAGATCAAACATTTAAATATCAACATTTGACATTTAAAAACACATGCGACATTATTTTTAAAAATATGTTCAAATTTTGGTCATATAGCCAGAATTTTTTTGCTGACCATACCTGAAGCAATGACAATTAACTTTTTATAATACAGAGTTAGTTTATTAAATATGAAAAAAAGAAAATAAACCCCGCGGAATATAATTTCAATGCAGCAGTAGGAGCAAGAAAGAAAAGGGCACTAGCCTTAGCATATTGATGATATTAATATGACTGTATTTATGGCAGTGTGAATAACATCTTAGTTAATAGTAATTGTATTTTAATATCGGTACAATTACTTTTTTAAGGGTTGCAAAAGGGGCTTCAAGGTATATTAATAAGCTAAGTAAATCATCTAATGTGAGTTAAGTTGATTGCACAATTTCATCGCTTCACGACCAGAAGAGCGTCAAAATGGCCGACGGGCAAGCACAGACAGCGACTTCCACCAGTCAACAAGTTAGGAAAGGTGGTTACATTATTTTTCAATTATAGTAAAAGTCAAATTGAATTGAATATTTCCATATTTGAGATTTGGCACCAAGATTTATAATCAAGAAAGTACTTTAAAATCATAGCCTGTTAAAGTCTGATAGAATTAAAAATCATACTTGATTAATTAATATGTCAATTAGAATTGCACTGCCCATGGTAACTGACATAACTTTCACTCTAGGCCTAGTTTAGGTGTATACTTTTTTTAATACGTGTCCAATTAAATTAAACTAATTAACTTTTAGGCTTAGGCCTAGGCCTGCTTAAGTCAGTTAAGACACTAATTAATTACTTATTAGATTACTCTACTCTTAAGTAAGTTGACCAAACATCAGTTAAAGTTAAAATAAAAATTTAATTAGTATAAATTAAATAAGGCCTATACTTTTTTTAGGGCAGGGCAATTTGTTAATTACAGTAAAATCATAAGGTAATGTTGAAGTTCAGGTGCATATATTATTTCTGATCGTATTTCGTATTATCACATTTAAACTTACGTGTATTCTTCATTAAATAAAATCTAGGCAGTGAAAAATAACTAATACTGAATTATACATCGCTAATTTTCATTTTATTAAATTTTTAAAGCGTCTTGGAACAATCACCAACTTTCCATATATCATCAGTTGCGCTACGGCCCATGTAAGGTGCTGGCCTGCTCCACCACATCCTTCCATTCGCAGCGATCCATGGCTTTCCGCCTCCATGCACGAACCCCCAACTGGTGTATATCCATCTCCACATCATCGATTCATCTCAGCCTTGGCGACCGGTGAGTCGTCTGCCCCTAGGCTTCTGCCTGCATATAACTTTTGCTGCTCTCCATTCTGGCATCCCTTCAAAATGTCCTGCCCAGCATAGTCTACCTTTTTTATCATTGTGACTATGAGTTGGTCTTTGTACAAATGGTAAAGTTCTTGGTTTGTATGAATTCCAACCTTCCATAGCTCCATTTGTTTTTTTGGTTTTTTTTTCACCCTGTTGCCAGATTTTTGATCACCTATAAGTTGGTACGGTATACTTAACGAAATTTTCAAATTGTAGGCATATTCACAAAAAAATGAAATACGGGCATGGGTGAATGATACAACAGACCTGTTTACTCTTACGATTTTGGCGTACAATGTACGATTTTGAGGTGTATACATTATGAATACTTAATGTTTATTTTTTTTACTATAAAGATATGTATTGAAAGATTTTGTGATGATATTGTACGATTTTAAGAGTTTGAGGGTAAACAGGTCTGCAACAAGATCAAATTTAGTAGACATACACTTGATTATCCATATTCAAAAACCGGTACTGAAGGGTAATGGGTAAAGAATTCATAACTTTAATTTTTCCTAAAACTAGCTTATATATACACACGATTTTTTATAGATTTATTTTGTGAACATGCTTTTAGTTTGAAAAGTTAAGCATCAATAAATAATTTGGGTATACTTAATTATAATTATAATTTCTTGTTTAGCTTTTTGTGATTATGGTTTCAGTTGAAAAATTGCAATCTGGTATGTAGCGTGAATTTAAAAAAAACAAGAAAATGGAGAGATCCTTTACGCTATCGGTTATGTACCAATGGGGGCTGTAAAAATCAATAAAAAGAAAAGTTAGTGCTCTATAATTTAGTGTTAGTGTTAACTAATACTATCTGGACTAAATTTTATAAAGAATACTTTAAGTTTACACACAATAATACGAAATTTGATCAGAAATAATATATGCACCTGAACTGCAAGATTACCAAATCATAATATATGCAATGTCATATGTTCAAATTACGCCTTACGACTCACCCTGACTTTCTGTGTACGAATGAACTCCTCTTGTTTAGTTAAATTTTTGTTTAAAATATTAATACGCTGACGGAATGTGTTTGAGAAAATCTACCAAGGTTGAAGCTTTGAAAATTGAAATTAAAAATAGGTAATATTTACTGATCAATAACTTTAAAAAAAAGTTAAATGATAAAAAAAAAATGGTTTCTTTAATATATTATGTCATGCCATTTATAACATAGCCACAATTCTTGAATGTAGACAGTAAGCAGTTTTCAAAATAAAAAATCAAATAGGTCACTTTTTTAGGATATGTAATTTGTCATCATGGCGACCATGCTAATCTGCATATTACCTATATTACTTATTACAAATAACAGCTGTGGGGTAGTTAATAATTCATTAAATTGGTTATCCAGAATATAAATAGAAAATAAAACTTAGATAGGCCTAGTAAAAGTATTATAATAATATTATAAATTATTTTGGGAGTGGGATAAATAGCGTTTATTACAATTAAAATATTTATATTAGTGATATTTATATGTATATATGACTTTTAGGCCTAGTTTATTATAGCCCCAACCCAACTTATTATTTGTAGCACCTATTATTATAAATTATATGTAATGATATGTTAGGCTATATTTGATGAATATTATGATTCTTAAGACATCAACTAAATAAAAATGTAAAAAAATATTCATTTATCTTTGTGACTGAAATATCCTACATTTAATAACGTAGCACAATTGTCCACAAGTTAATTATTATATAATACTTAGTTTTCTCAAAGAAAAAAACACACTCTCTGCTACCATAATCCAATAATTACTTAAGATATTAATAAAGAACAATTGTCATAATATCTGGTACTTACCTCAAACAAATGACTAGAACTTATTTTAGTTGGTGTTCAAGAATTTCAATATATACTTTGGCATTAGGGTCTTCCCCATTAAGTTTAAACCAATAAATAAGTTTGGACTTGTTGGATTTTCGCTGTACAAGTTCAGTTTTCTTGTCTGCTATAAAAAATATCATATCAAGTTGGCTATATAATCTTCCCATGATCAGTTTGGTGGTGCATGTTGTATTCCCTGATCCTCCATCATGCGTCAGGTGCTCTTACATACCGGGTCTCCAATTAATTTTTTACTTTGTCCTATTTTACAGTAGCTTCCTGTTCTGTGGGAACTGTAAGGAATTGAATAATTGCACAATCATGCCCCTTGAAAACAAATTTCAAGAGTTATTTAACCATTTAAATTGAGCTACAAATCTGTATGTTAATGTGGGCGTTGCACTTCAGAGACAGGTATGGATTGTAGGGCTCCACCCATTTGTTATCCACTTTGTTTCCCCCATGTTCAACAAAGTTACTGTCCTCTTGGCATTGATATTATGGGTAACCATTGACATTGCTCTTGGTCTCAGCACAGAAATATTTTGGGAATTCTTTTGTGCATTTGCTGTTTTCCATACACATAACATTTGGATTTAATGGACCACATGGGCTGTGTATCATTTAGGATATTATAATTTCATGTATCCTCATGTGGGCATCTTTAGCATGGAGTTCTGCACTAACAATTTGGTCAATTCTTTCAGTCTCCCAAGCTTTGTCTTCTGGGGCCATGAATAGCAATATGTGCCCATGGGGTTGACCATCAATTTGGAACTCGATGACATGGAGCATAGCCATGAGATGCCTGAATATATGGTGTTTGTTTAAGTCTTTAAGTAACAATTTTAATTTCAAATTAAACACTCTTGCTAATAAATCAGATGGGTTGCATTGTTGCTGACCATTAAGTACATTTTCCCTGATTCCTTCCCATTTAGGATTACACGTAAATGTAAAAAATGCAATCAAAAAACATTTCCATTTAATTGGGTCAATAAAAGAATCTTATCTTATCTAACAAATAATGGCTATAGCATCTTGATAATTTTGAGCCCATATTTTTTGGACTCCCTAAGAAGGTTGAAGGCAATATAACTTTCTTTCCAGGCAATATATTAATGTCCTCAAATTTGAGGTTATTATCTATCAGTGAAGGACATCATAGTCTTCAGCTTTTATTTTGTTTTGATTTTTTTAAAAACAATGCAAAAGTTTTGCTTTGATCTTGCAATAGACATCAACCATGAATTAGTGAGTCAGTTTTCCTGCATTGAAGATCTGGTTAAAGTTTCCATCATGAATGGCAGAATGGTATGAATACCATTGAAGATGTGACACATTTCCTTGACCAACCACTTTCTTCATGTCTGTTGTCCACCCTAATTCCCCAATGGGAAAAGCAAAGGATAGCACATTGGGTAACAGAGTCTACTCAGGATGGATATATTTTGTGAAATTCCAAAAATCTTTTAAAATTTCATATTTGCATTCTCTAGAAAACAGATTGTTATCTCTAAGAAGTTTTTGAAGGTTCTCCATTATAACAAGAATGCACCCATTGTTTGCTTGATAGTTCCTTGCTTCTGTCAAGGCTTGTGCCGACTCCAAAATATAGAGTTAGGCATTGCACTTTTTGGAATTTTGATTAGATCCATTCATGTAGCTTTTAATGAAGTTATGTATTTTTATTTCTTCTAATAAAACGTTCCCTTTATGGCAGCAATTTGATATTAATTAATTTTTCAGTGTTCGGCATTGAAAAACGTCCATAGGCCAAAATAACTTTCTTCAATTTCGCCTTCATTGAAGTTTTCAGAAAGCAAAGCTCTGCTGCGGGATAGAGCATGTCGACTCACACATCCTCTTTGATATTTGCGTGCAACACTTTGTCTTTCAACATTTTTCTCATGCTCTTGTTGAAATTGATATTGGGGCATGTTTTCTCTGTGTTGCCATTGACTCACAGCATTAGATTCACATTCTTCTTGAAGCTGCTCTTTTTACAATTTCATGAGGAAACTTATAAAGATTGAACACACTTTTTGGGAATATTAACAATAAAGTAACTAACTATATTCTCTGTAAATATTATTTTTTTATCTCAAATTATAATAAAATTATAGGCGTAAAAACAAAAGCAAAATAAGGGTCACGAAACCTGGTGGAAAACTCCATATTTAAAAAGTGGCTTTGAAGTCCTTACAACAAAGTTCATAACTTTTGAACCAATTGAGCTAGAAAGTTGACCTTAGTTTTATTGTTAACTTTGATTTTTGCATGATACATAATTTACATCATAGCAACTGCTAAAAAACCAGCTTTGGACTAATATACATTAAAAAAATTACCCATAATTTTACCACTCTGAAGAGCATATTGATCTTTTGCTGTAATAAATATCCCAAGTTCAGTTCATTCCACAGTGCTAAATTTTGTTTTTAACATTTTGTTACAAGACAACTCAATTATCTACTTCTTCTGCAAGATTTATCAATACTATCATTTTGAAAAAAATTCTCAAATGCTGTGCTAAGACATGATAACTCAGATAAGTTTTCTTCAAAAATAGAATTCATATCTTGGAGGTCAAAAATTGTTACAACAAAGAGAAAAATTCGTTGCCAATGTCTTCTTTCATTTTCCTTTTCCATAAATTTGTAATAAAAGCTGAAATTTTGTCAATATTTTGTAGCAACTCTATGAGGCATCCCCAGCTCTCCATGGCACGCGCAATGGGAACCCCTGCAAGGATGAAAATAATCGTTAATTTAGAAATGGTTTCTTTTTGCATCCTTCTCAACTGCACAATTTAGTTTCTGATTAAATCCTATACACATTTAAGCTGGAGTTCAATTTCTCATTGAATCAACTTTTTTTTCAATATCCTAATTCAGCTTTGCCCTAATGCCATGTTTTGACCTGCCACAGGGCCATGAAAGTAAAATTACTTGTTTTAAAAAACAAATTCTCGGAAACCTAGACATTAAATGGTTATTAGACAGTAAACTCAATAAATTTGTCAAGTTTAATGATCTTGATTTCTCGTTGTTAATTTAAATACAGGAATCTGTATTACTACAGCTATTATAATTAACCAATAAATAATGTATAATTACAAATAAATTGCTATCAAATTCAACTACTACATTTTTTACAAAATTACTATTGATATAATTTGTAAAAAAAAAAAAAACAACAACATAAAATTGTATAAAAATTGGACTTTAAACAAGCTATTTTAATTTTAAAGTTGTAAATTATCCTTTTGGGAAGGATGCAAGCATGGACAGCTAAGGGGAGATTATTCCATATCATGAATATTTATTGTTGCTACATTTTAGCAATGATTATTGGCAATGTGTAGATATAAATGTTAAAATCAGATATAAAAGGTTAAGCAACAATGAATAAAAACTAGTGATACACATTTTTTTTCGCCGCCTCATTCTTGAGAGACTGGGAGGTAAATTTTCTTTTGTTGTGTTAACTTATCCGGGGGGGGGGTGGGGAAATGTTCAAATAATTTGTTAAACATGCAAGTCTAGAGGACCAGGTCAATGGAAAGCACAATGAAACAGTTTGGGACAAAGAAAACAATATCACAATTCTCATTAATATATTATTTACCAGGTTTCTGTTCGATATCTTTACATTTTTAGACTATATACATTTTTATATTGAAAGAAATTAAACTGTAGGCTATGGTCTTTCAAATCTGTTTTATGTTACCTATTATAAGCCAGAATAAACCATACAAATTTTAGAAGTCAATGAACGATAAGTATATAAAATAACAGTGCCAAAAAAAAATCACAAAACGTTCTAGAAACGCTGTCTTAGATCATATGGCACACTTCAATTACATCTACAAAATAAATATAAAACAAAAGATGTAATATCACATAGTGTAAGAAAAATAATTGCTATGTATTTCATTTGGAAAGTTCATATCTAGAAATTTAAAAATTGCAATGATTTCAATTTACCCCCCCTCCCCATTACCACAATAGTTTTGATAACTATTTCAAAATTTGTTTTGTTTTCCATTTTTGCAAATGATAAAAATTGGATTTCAATGCAAAATAGCTATATTTTCACCATATAAAGTATGATTCTCTAAAGAAATCCAGAATTAAATTCTTTTTTAATATAAAATTGAATGCCAGACACACTTTTCTTATTGTTTTTATCAGTAAGATATTTTTATAATTTCAATTTTGTATACTTTGTATTTTTCAGGTCGAACCCAAGTAGTTGTATCCTTGCAATAACAGAATCAGATAAAATATTTGGCTTAAGATGTAAAAAAAAAAAAAAAAAAGAATTTTTTGACTTACAATTTCCACAAAATTATTCAAAATGTTTATCATCAAATCAATAATTTTGAGTACCGTATTTAGTCAATAAAACAATTTTTTTTAAAATATCAAGTTGTTTATTATTATACAATTAAATCTGTGATTGCATATATATTCCTTATCAAGATTTTAGAGATCATCATTGCCATACCAGATCCTTCTTTTTCTAAATGGATGGTATTTTGCATTTTTTTTTGTTTGTGAAATTCTTCTCTTTGTTTTCAAAGGTATGGGTTTTTATGGTAATTAAAATAGCATCAAATAATAGTAGTAATGTATTGCTTAGTTATGAGATATTATATCCTGTCAGCTTTTTTAGATATTCAAATCAATTATCTCAAACCTGCTATTTAGCTTTGTCAATTATTTGGGCCAGATCTCCTTGCCCACATCAAAATTCAAATTATACTTATGGATTTACCCAAATGGGGGCAGTTAAATGAAAGCTATAAATATCATTGCAGAAAATATGCTATACACAGATAAATACTTTTTGGGCTATCTATGCATGTAACATCCTCAAAGAATTAAATAATTTTATCTTTAAACAATTACAGTATATTAGATTTTCTTCAAAATAATTAACAAAGTCTGGGTTAATTTGGAGTAAATATTTAGATTGATTACATTCTTGATTTAAAAGTCAGTATTAAAATAAAAAATGTGATTACTTTTACACTAAACATTGATTCAATACACCAAGTCTAAACTTTTTGTTCATCTAATCTAGGAGAAACTCTGCCTTATGCAACAAATGTCTTAGCTGCTGAAGTGATATTGCTATTTTTGTTAGCTATGGTTGAGGCTCTGCGGTTATTCTTTGGTAAGTGCTTACACATTCTTAGATATGTTAGAATAATGCTGGTTAATGCAGATACATTTCTTAGAGTTGTAAATTATTAATTTTTGTTTATGAACTCATGCATTGTTCCTGAAGTATAGATTTACAGATCATAATTTTCTTTTTCTCCTTAGTTTGAAATTAAATTTCATAATTGAGCAAAGTTTTTATCTGTTAATCACTATTTGAAAAAAAAAAATTCATTGCCCTATTATTTTCCATTTATTTATATTTTTATTAAATAATGGCATGTCCTTCTTTTCTTGTATTACAGGAAGACGAGGCAATTTAACTGAACAGATCATGGGAGTGTTAGTTTGTGTTATACTCAGCATAGCAACAATTTTTGGCGTGCTTTTCTTTCTTTTGTGGCAGACATATGTGTTACGAGTTGAGATCATCCTTACATCCATTCAGTTGTTCTTTATTGGCATGGAACTGATCTTTGGCATAATTTCAATCATCACTTTTGCTAAGTAAGAATCCACTTTCTTTTTAGTATATATACACACTTTTTTTAGCTATATAATAGCCTTAGCAGAGTCTATAAACCAATTTTTTTTTATTGTGTTCTTAGTTAAAAGAGAAAAAATTAAAAAAGTTAACCTTTTTGACATCATAGTCAAAATACTATTGTAATGTGACAAGGTATTGCTTGAAAATAATTATTTAAAAAGAAATTTCAATATTTTTTTCAAAGGTTTTAAAACATTCAGAGAATTGAAAAGTTTATAAAAAATATCATTACAGTAAAATAAAACCACTCAATTTTAATACTTTTGAAATAATATATTTTAGTACTACAAATCTATATTATGTAAACATGGATGACACATCATGTTAATAATGAATATTATATACTATTTATATCTATGATTAATTATTATTAATTACCATTCATTCTTCAAAGGCAGGAGTATATATTTGCTTGACAGGTGATGAGAAATTGCCTAAAAATTTATGATTATTTTGAATTATTTTTGACTATTCAGTTTCTTTTAGTTATTTCCTTCCACAGTTAGTTTTGTTGTCTAATTTTAGATACCGGTAGTTTTAAAAATTCATTCATTTCATAATTAAATCTCTTGTAAATCAAGAAAAACAATTTTAAAGGCTTACTTGATGCAAATGAAATTTTATTGTTAGATAGATTTTGATTGTTTAATCAATGTGATATATCATAAGAATTAAAAATAATACAGTAATATAATGTACATGGTATAGTGAGAAATAAGGTAATTGTTTTACCTTAATTTTAAATAAATTTTAAAAACATGTCTTCAAAAAATGTTCCCACCAAGTCCTTACAAGGTCTTATTTTAATTTCAGAGGTGCACCATGAATTGAAAGATTTTTGGAATAGAGTGTTGTACACAGGAGGTGCTGAAATTTATGTCCGAAAAAAAATTTTGGTACCTAAAAACATATCGGTAACAACATTTCATAGAGTCCAACGACTGAGAACAAAATCTTTCAATGAAATACTTTAATTAAGAAAGAAATAGACTTATACTCTCAAGTTGTCACCACCAATATTATCTTGAACCTGCTTCCCTTTGCTTTTAAATTTTCAGATCTGATACCTTACAGCTTTTATCTTTTTTTTTTTACTTGTAGTTTCTTAACTATTTTATTGGTTTTAAAGTCAATGTAATTTTCAATGTGTTGCCACTGCTTTGTCAAAGTTTTATTCATGTAATTTTATTTTAAAATGTTTCAAAAGAAGTCGCAAATGAGACAACAAGCACCATCAAGAGTAGTTTGACCTTACACAGAAACTGAAATGAAAAAGAATCCCTAAAAAACTTTTAAAATGTTCAGAATTTCCTAGTCACTAGACTGTGAGATGAATTAAAAAGCCTTAGAAAGAGTTCATTTTAAAATTTTAGTTTTTTTGAATTATTTAAAAAAAAAAAAAAAGAATAATCTTTTAAATAGTAATGTTATGCTTACTTAGATCTTACTTTCTAAAATTGAGCTATAGCAATCAAAAGAATGAATTAAAAAGCCTTAGAAAGAGTTCATTTTAAAATTTTAGTTTTTTTGAATGATTTAAAAAAAAAAAAAAAAGAATAATCTTTTAAATAGTAATGTTATGCTTACTTAGATCTTACTTTCTAAAATTGAGCTATAGCAATCAAAAGAAAAAATTAGATCGTGTACTGCTAAATATTTGGTCATCAGCACTTAGCAGTCAATCTACAGGCTTATTAATAATGCTTGTACTAACATCAACTACCTTGTTATAAAAAAAATCATTCAAAATTAGATATCAATTTTGAAAGGTCCTTTTTTTTTTATTGCTTTAAAAAAAGTGTTGCAGGCAGAGACGTAAATAAACTGTACACATATTTACCAAAAGTTTTTGTTTCTTCAGTGATTTACTGTAAAACTTGTTTATGATGGCAAACATTCAAAAATGTTTAAAAAAGAAATTATTCTAGTTCTTGGCTAGTAAACTCCAACCTCATTTACTCCAAGGCTGATACACTCTGATATCTTCCAAGGATGATAAACATAAGCTGATACACTCCCAGCTGATATCTTGCTAGGATGATAAACCTAAGCTGATACACTCCCAGCTGATATCTTGCTAGGATGATAAACCTAAGCTGATACACTCCCAGCTGATATCTTGCTAGGATGATAAACCTAAGCTGATACACCCCTGGCTGATATCTTGCTAGCATGATAAACCTAAGCTGATACACTCCCAGCTGATATCTTGATAGGATGATAAACCTAAGCTGATACACTCCCAGCTGATATCTTGCTAGGATGATAAACCTAAGCTGATACACCCCTGGCTGATATCTTGCTAGGATGATAAACCTAAGCTGATACACTCCCAGCTGATATCTTGATAGGATGATAAACCTAAGCTGATACACTCCCAGCTGATATCTTGCTAGCATGGTAAACCTAAGCTGATACACTCCTGGCTGATATCTTGCTAGGATGATAAACCTAAGCTGATACACTCCCAGCTGATATCTTGATAGGATGATAAACCTAAGCTGATACACTCCCAGCTGATATCTTGCTAGGATGATAAACCTAAGCTGATACACTCCCAGCTGATATCTTGCTAGGATGATAAACCTAACCTGATACACCCCTGGCTGATATCTTGCTAGGATGATAAACCTAAGCTGATACACCCCTGGCTGATATCTTGCTAGGATGATAAACCTAAGCTGATACACCCCTGGCTGATATCTTGCTAGGATGATCAACCTAAGCTGATACACCCCTGGCTGATATCTTGCTAGGATGATCAACCTAAGCTGATACACCCCTGGCTGATATCTTGCTAGGATGATCAACCTAAGCTGATACACTCATTAAGGTTATTAAACCCGTAGCTGAAAAGCTGCTCTCCTAACAGCCACCCATCTGACAGTCTCAGCTGATACACTTCAATTTAAGAAACATTTAATTTTTACACACACACACTTAACAACCTCGTCTCCAACCTTCTTTCTATGTATCTCTTTGGTATTTCTTGTGTTTTCTTACGTCTCCTTTTATAAGGATGATAAACTATTAGATTGTACATTACCAGCATGGAATAGAGGCTTATTACCTATATGAAAAGACTTTTAGTGGTTACCAGATGATCATCAATTCTGAATGTCGTGGACGTTTGAATGGAAATAGCAACATTTACATCTTCCCAAAATATAGAAAATCATAGGGCCACAGTGCCCTGCAAGACACATACCTGTTTAAAAAATGTATGTATGGGTGCTGTAGGTGTATCAACAGATAGGTCATAGTAATAAGAAACCCATCATTTCAAGATACATTCTTTGTTCAAAATGAGGCGTCTTATTTTGTATTCAAATGGGTTGAATTTATTGATGTATCACTGTGGCATTGATTGCATTTAATTTATTGATGTATCTATGTGCCATTGATTGTATGTATTGATGTATCTCTGTGGCATTGATTGTGTGTATTGATGTATCTCTGTGGCATTGATTATATTTATTGACATCTCTGTGGCATTGATTGTATGTATTGATGTATCTCTGTGGCATTGATTGTATGTATTGAGGTATCTCTGTGGCATTGATTGTATTTATTGATGTATCTCTGTGGCATTGATTGTATTTATTGATGTATCTCTGTGGCATTGATTGTATGTATTGATGTATTTCTATGGCATTGATTGTATTTATTGATGTATCTCTGTGGCATTGATTGTATTTATTGATGTATTCTGTGGCATTGATTGTATTTATTGATGTATCACTGTGGCATTGATTGTATTTATTGATGTATCTCTGTGGCATTGATTGTATGTATTGATGTATCTCTGTGCCATTGATTGTATTTATTGATGTATCTCTGTGGCATTGATTGTATTTATTGATGTATCCCGGTGGCATTGATTGCGTAATTGCAGCTTGCTAGCTACACCAACCCTAATTGACTTATATAGAAAGGTAAAAAAAAAAAGAAAGACAATTATTCCAATTTTGTAAACAACTTTATTTACGGTGTATCAACTTGTAGCTCTTAAGACTTTATCTTAGAATTATCTGCATGGAATAAATTAGCACAGCTTATAAAAAAAAATTCTCTGTCGCGATGTACTTCCTAAGTTAAAATGTTTCTATGTGATGCAACAACTAAATTAAATGTTACTTGATGCTTTGGTCATATACATTAACGTGTATGGGTTATGTAAAACGCCTCTCCAGATTTTTTTACATTTAGTCAATTAATTTGTTTATTACTCTGGACCACGAACAGGGTTGTCGATCTGAGCCTGAGATTCTTTTTGTCCACATGAAAGTTTCCGGCTCGTCTCAGATGCTTTGTGATATTCAAATGTTTGACTCGTCCCAGGAAGCTGTGGTCCAAGTGGAGTGCTCTGTGTCACTTGCTGTTCAAGTTGATACCTTGGACTCATCTCAGGCTGGCTTTGTCCAAACTGAAGTTCTGAGACTGTCTGTGATCGCCGAAGATCACTTTCAGGCAAAGTTGTCAAAAGACTTTCCTCTTGTGTACGGGTAAAAATTTCCTTACAGCCCACTGGCTTCCCAGTAAAGTAAGAAACTGATATTAGAGGATGATGGTGTGCAGCGACGAGCTCCTCGCCAATCTTTGGGACACTGCTCAAATAGTTTGCTGTGTCCGGACACGTCGGTACTGTAGGACCTGAACAAACTAGAGTTGTGCTTGACGCTGGGAAACCCTTCGTGTCCGAATGCGTCTTCTGAAAGTCCTCCCGTGACGGCTTCGTTTGGCCGCTGTTCACCTGTTGAAATACCTGGTTCATTTCTCCATCGACGCACTCAGGAACACCAACCTTAAAACGACACGGGTTGGCATTCATGCACCGAGGCTCACCCTGTATCGCTTGCATCGCCTGAGTGTAGTTGTCCTGACATTTATGAACGGTGGCCCCAGAAGTCAGCTGTGGGGATTGACCAGGTGGGACGTCATGGTAATTGTTGGCCAGGATCCAGTTCGCGTGAAAGGCTTGATTGGCCTTGTTGTAAGTATGCTGCAGGGTTCGGTACAGTGTGCTTAGGTTTGTCAGTCCAGTTCTACCCGGCGCTTCATCTTGAAACTCTCCAAACTGAGGAGGCTGGTTAGGTGGTCGCTGCACGACCCTCTCTGTGTTGTCATAATTTTCTGCAGTCATTTCTCTCGTTTGGGAAGATTGAGACAAATCTGCCGCAGAAACTATGCGTCTTTTTCTGTCACCCTCATGCCCACCGTTTTTCTGGAATACGTCACAGTTACCATTTGAAGCATCAGCTCCTTTGAAAGAATATGTAACATTTTTCGACGAGCCCGAAGAAGGCTGCAAATCGTTTTCTTTTGATCTGTGCCCATGCACATTGCTCTCATACAAACTGGTGTTCGCGTGGTCGTTAGGCCCTGTAGCAATCCTGGCCCAGACCGCGGAATTATTCTTAGAGTCGGCAACTTGCCTAAATAGCGCATTTTGAGTAGCCCGATAGACTGTTTCAGTCACACGGCCAGTCGACGACGCGGAGGGCTTGTACCAATCGAAGCTGATTTGCGTACATGCTGACCCCACAGACTGCGAGCTAACACCGTTTAAATTGTTCTGACCATCGCTCGCCGGTTGCTGTTGTAGCTCATCCGATGCACCGCCCTGCTTTAGGGAACAAGAAACATTCGCCGTCTGTGGTGATGTTTTTTCTAACATGACGCCCTCCACCATCTCCTTCGCTGAGCTCACCAAATGTATCTCACCATTTGGAGTAACATCGCTTTTCTCGCGCGCATCAGTACAACAAGAAGCGTAGAGACTTTGATCACGAGATGTTGGGACAACAACCTGATCAAACTGTTTAGACGTCTCATTTGGTGGCGCTGAGATGCTTTTCTCCGTAGAGTGGTATTCATTATTTGTCCACCTGGTTTTGTCCTCTCCTTTGGATTCCGCAAAGCTCATTTGTTCAGGGAAACATCCGTCAAAATCGGACGCATCATTGCCTGAAAGACGGACATCGTTATCGGGAATTCCTACTCGTAATCCTGAATCCCAAATGCCTCGATGTGCGCTGTTGTTTTCCCCAAGCGCAGGTCGTCTGTACGACGTCGGATTTTGCTCCTGAGCGCTGAAGCCCAGCTTTTTCTTCGTATAAAGGAGAGCGGAGGTGACGTATTTTTTGTTTCTGGTGCCACGGAAACGAATGCAGGAACCTTTATGCGCACCTTGGCCATTAGCGCCCGATCCATGGTCATGTGACATGGGCTCAAATTCTCCGAGCAAATGCTCTTTTATGGGAACCCCGATGTTGCCGCTTGTCTGTAGATATAGGTTTGTACGAGGTGGACTTGCTTTAGGTGACGTTTGATTTCTAATATCCAACGGTCCTGGAAAACTGCCTAACTCTTTATGTGGCTTTTTATTTGGATTTTGCGGAGAGACTTGTTGATTAGCTTGATCCTGAGATATTTTGGGAGACCCTAGGACAGACTTCCTGCCATAATGTGACCTCTCGCTAATCACTTTGGGTACACAGGGTTGTTGAGTGTTGACAGCAAAGGCGCGAGAGAAGTCATTTCTATATGGTTCTGGCTTAACAGCGCTGCATCTTGGCTGGTTAGTTTTTTCCTGGGTGAGCAATGGCATTGGGCCATGAGACCGTTGACACGGTGGGTTCTTCTGTTTTAGTGTCGGTGACCTCTTAAAAATTACCCTTAATTTGGAGCGTTTTTTCACCAGGTTGATCTGGTTTGAGAAGCGCTTGTGAGAGTCCAGCAACTTAGCGTCGCCAACTTTGATATCGTCTTGGTGTTCCCAGCAGTCCCTTAGGGACGTCATTTCCTTCCTTGGATCAACGGGTTCCCCGTGACCAGGAGGCGTAAAATGGACAGGGCTAATCGTGGAATTTTTAAAATCTCCTTTCAAATGACCAGCACCACTGAGGTGTGCTGTTTCAGAGGAGGTGTCCGATGTTTCTTTCTCCCTCACTACACGATGTTCTCTTCTCATTTTTGTTAGCGGTTGAGTGTCAAGGTTGTCAGAGATCTGAACCGATCTTTTTTTCTTAATCTGTCGCGTGGAAGAGCTGTTGGTCGTCTGATGAAGGCTAGGTTTCACTTCCGCAATCGTCTCTTCGACGATTGGCATACACTTCCCGGTGGTGTTTGCCATTCTGCTGAAATCTGTGTTTATTTGACTTTGGCTAGGGGAACACCCGTACTGTGAAATTTGTTCTTCAATTTCTCCTGTCTCGCCTTGCAGCATGGTGACTTTGCTATGGGCCTCGCTTACCTCCTGTGGTGTTGAGACTGGTTTCTCTTCCTCGCTTTGATCGTTTGCAATGATTTTTGCCACCGACCTCACGTCCTTAGACGTCGTCTGGGACTTATCTTCATTGGTTGCCTCGTTAATCTCAGGAACCAGACCCGAATGTCTCGATAGTTCATCGTACTCTTGGATAGAGAACAGCTTCCAAATGTGACTGGGAATTTTAGGCTTGAAAGCAATATTTCTGCTAGCCCTTTTCTGTGTTTCGGACAACGAACACGAATCCGCAAACCGTGAACAAGGTCGGGCATTTTTTTCGCTGACTTGGCTCGGACTCGGGCTTCTGGACTCGCGTGTACGAACTTTTCGTTCCTCCTTCACGTGAGGTTGACGCTGTTTTCTCTTAGACCCCCCGTTGTGAAAGTAGTTTCCCCTATTTAAGGTCATCATTTCATATTGGTAATGGTCGATGATGGACTTGCAGCAGCCGGCAGGACTGATGTCCAGCGGAAGTTGCCTGTAGAGGTACTTGGACTTCATCTCCTTCAAGTATTTCTCTCTGAGCTCATCGATGTTGCCCAAGTGATGGCGAGCTGTCGGCGTGGGACAAGGGGAGGCGGCCGTCGCTCTGCCTTTCCAATCGCTCGGTTTGGGTTGCGTTGTCTTGCCTTTCAACGACCCGGATGTCACCTTGTCTTTCGCCGGCTGACTTGTACTGAGCGGTTCCGGCGGGAGTTTGTGTTTTGGTGTGGTCATGTCAGATGAATCGGTTGTCGACATATCAATCTCGGTTAGAGCGCTTAGGTCGTCTTGTGAATTTTTACGATTTCTCTCATTGTCTTTCCCATAGATTTCAGAATTCGGTGTTATTAGCACTCTGTGGGCCACAGATTCTGTCCTGACGCTTGGACTCTCTCTTGAATCGCGTTTTGTGTGTTTAATACGCGGTTGAGGCACACGTCCCGCCCCTTTCAATGCTTTAGATGATTCGTCCACTTTTACCGCGGCCCTGCTCCTGACGGATGCGAGCTGTTTCCATGCCCTTGACTTTCTGTGGCTGTCAGCTGGCGTACTGTATTCTGAAGGTGTGTCCCCTTGACTGCTTTCTCGGCTGACGGGTAGCACCTGGGGCAGACCAACCTTTTTGTTTTCCGTTTTGTCGAATAGCTGTTTGGAGCTGAGGATGGTCTTGCAACCTGGCCCCAGATCCTTCATCAGTGTGGCATTCGTCGAAGCAGCAAAATTAACGCCGTGGACAAATTGCTGTTCACCCTTCGTAAGACACTTTCGGTGGCCCTCGTTTTCGCAGTCACTGTCCCGGTCAGATAGAGGTTTTTTAATTCCAAAATGTAAAATTTCTTTAAGGATTGTCGTTTCATTGGGAGTTTTTGGATGCGAATCTACAGCAGCGTTCAAAGCCTTCATATCGGCTTTCTGAGACACAAATTTTGCTCTCGGATTGATCCCTTCTCTCGCCTTGTTGTCTTGCGCTTCAGTGTTGGACACGTGGGCATTCGGTCGTTGAAGCATGCACTGGGAAAAAGGAGAAATAACCTGTCTCTGTCTTATACCATACGGACGATGATTGGGAGAAGTTACATTTTTGTCATTGACTAGATGCACGTCAGTGTTTGGTGAACTGAGGCTCGGTTTTTTAAATTGATCTGGTGGATTACTGGGTGAATGAAAGACGTGGACTTGGTTACTGAGCTGTTTAGAAAACCCGAATTTGTTGCTCGAAGGCAGAATACATGTCTTCTGAGCGACCCCAGTCTTCTTTGACTCGGCATTTTTGTTGCACACCTTTAAGGGATTGTGAGAGGCTTGTGAAATATGCCTCTTGTAATCGTGCAGACCTTGGCTTTCACGATGTAGACCAAAGCGCATGGAGGCCCTCGATGGGACGTTTATCACTTTGTAGATCCATGATTCGTTTTTCGGAGAACTGGCATTGCGCCCATGAATCCGATCCCCTTGTTTATAAGGGGAGTTTAGTTGTTTCGAGTACTGCACGTGTCTGGTTTGAGACGCGGGAATCTCCTGCCTTGGATCACCGTCGTTCACCGACGCAGGCTGGACTTTTTGGTACCTAGACTTGAAAGTCAGTTTAAATGAAGGTGCCGGTGCTCCATCTTTGTTGTTGGAACGCCTGAACCACTCACTGTGAGCGTGGACGAGTCGCCCCGAGGAAGCCTTGTCGTGAGGCTTATCAGAGATCGATTTGTTGGCGCTCGTGAACGTTGGTCCCGTCCGTTTCTTCGCGGTTGCTAGTGAAATGCTGCCATGTGGGCTCGCTGTTGCCACGCTCTCGGGCGTCTCACCCGGGCGTAGAGATCGTCCGTCACTGTGAGTTTTTACAGTGTCACATTTTTGATTGAGGGATTTGGACTCTGCCGTACACCGCAGTGTGTTCGTGCTAACAATTTGTGAACCAGCCGAGCTCATGTAGTCCGACCTGGAGTAGTAGTCCTTGTAGGTCACACACGTGATTGGAAAGTTATCTCTTTGTGAAGATAAATCCTCTTCACTTTCCCTAAGTCTTGAGGTCGGTTTTCTGTGGGTGAAATTTTTAATGTTTGGTGTTTCGGAGGCGCACTGGAAAATCGGCTTAAATTTAAATTTCTTAAAAGCCATCAGTGCCTGCATGAGAGGTGAGAACCCTTTTTCAAGCTGATAGCTTTGGGACGAGTTTCCACTCTTCTCGTTCGGACTTATTTGTTTTGCCAGTATCAGAGACGCCATCTTGCGCTCAAAGTACTTATTAACAGGTTTCGAGGAGGACAACTTGCTGGGGCTGTCTTTTTTGTTATCGTCCGCGCATTTCCCCCGGGGCATTTCCTTGGGTCCTGCAGTTGTCGGGTTTACCGGAACGCACGCAGCAGCCGCTTCCTTCGGTTTCTGATTGACCTCGGGCAACGACAGGTCCATCTCAATCTGCTGTACACGTGTTTGATATACGCGCTTGTCCCCATCGCCTTGACCACTACCACTTGAATCGGCACTCACTAAATGTGTCCCCTGCGGCTGAGTCTCGACTAGCGCATGTTTCCCGACCTCGTTGTGAGCCTCGTGTTTCAGGTTCAGTCTGTTCTCGCTGGCACCGACGCGAGCTTGCCTCACGGCGCACTGTGTATTAGGTCTGTGGCTGGCAGACGCCGTGGGATGCGCTCGCGTATATTTTCGTCCCAAAGAAGGGATCCATTTCCTCTCCGGTTTGACCTGTGGTATCAGTGTCAGCGTCCACTGTTTGATGTTTTCCAGCCTCATTTTCAGAGTTTCGGTGTTGTCGTCCTCGGAGGTACTTACCTTAAAATCAGCGATTGAATCGTTCAGAGCGGGGGCCACAACGGGTATAGGGCGCTCCTCCGTTTTCACCGCACCGATACTGCTTTCACGTTTGCTATCACCACACGATTGTGAATCGTCGCTGTTAACATCTGCACGGGTCATCACATCGCTCGGCCTGTAAGACTCAACTACCTCTTCATGTGCCAGATGTCTTCGTTCTTTTATACGCCGATTATCGGAGGCGTATCTTCTCTTGTGAGACAGTAAATTTATGTGGACTAAGCTCCTTCCTTTGTCCTCGTGGCCTTTTAGTCCCCAGAGTCTCGATTTTCTTCTCCTGATTTGAGGAATATTCTTATCTATTGTGATGAGGGGCCACTCACTGTGTCCATCCTTCTGGACAGCTGATAACATTACCGGCTGCCGCGGGGTGTCTCTCTTTAAATACCCTGGCAGTTTTGGGGATTCGTTATCCACGCTCCTGTTAGGCGTAATTCTCTCACTCGACTTCTGCAAACTTCTCAGAGGCAATGGAATCCTACTTTTACGGCCGCTAGACTTTTCATACGAGCCGCTGTTAACCTTTCTGTATGATCCCGGGGGGCTCGGAGTGGTGTCATAACGCGACAGCCGCATTTCTTTTTTGACACGCACCGCTTCAAGCAGGTCGTCAGACGACATGGCTGACTGACTTTTCCACGACAGCGCACTTTGCTTGCGTCTCGGTGGCAAAATATGATGCTTGGGAGTAAGAGTTTTCTTCTTCATCGTCGGTAAATTCGCGAACTTCTCCGTCATGACGTTACTTTCGTCAGCCTCATTTTCTATACCCGATGTTGAGTAGCTGGTTACCGGGGTGTCGATTCTTCCCAAGTCCTCATCACACGAATCGTTGTCCGTGCTGCACTTCAAGATGTACACATTCTCCTTATAGTCGTCGTGTCTCTGTCGTTCAGAGGCCATGGAGTCACTGCCACTCTTCTGCGCCTCGCGATTCCCTGCATGTTTTTGAATCCCTTCCAAGCGCCGAACGACTGCCTCTGTTGACGCGCTCTGGTTCAGCTTATTCTGGTAGTTCTGTCTGAGAGCAGGCGTGGGGTCTCTGTTTTGAGCAACGGGCTTGCGCGGTGAAGCTTTAATCTCGGGCTCGGGCTCTTCCTCGCTGTCCGCCGCGCCGAAGACACTGTCGGAAGAGCAGCCGGAGAAACTGCTGGCGACTGTGCTCGGCTTACACAATCTGCCAATGGGAACGGCTGGGCAGTTTTTGGTCAAGCTGGTTTTTTGGGTTTCCTTTTGATCAATCCTGTTAGGTTTCCGGCTTGTTTCGATTCCGTAGGCAAGAGGCGTCTCTTTTTGTTCGGTAGGGTTCTTGTTAGTCGAGAAATCGTGAAGTCCGCACTTCTGCACTTTAGCGATACTCCTAAGATAATCGTAAGGGAGATAAATCGGGTGATTGTAGTGCGCAACATCTTTATCACTCGCCCTTGAAATTCGCTTCATCTGACTTTTGAGCATGCTGCCCCCAAACTCCGATGATCTCTTGGCTGTCACGTGTCTTTGTCTTGAACGCCTGGACTTCTGTCTCGTATTAACATTTTGCACATCCATCAGCGAGTCCACTATGTTACTGACTATGATTGATCCCAGCGATGTTGTGCTTAAGTCACTTTGCGGTTTCACTCCGGAATCCTCCAAAGTGGTTCTTCTTCTTCTGTCGCGTGCGTGCGGCTCGCGCGGTTCGGGCCGTTTAATTGAAACATTATAGGTCCCGTGCTCCTCTGGGTTGTTCGACGACAATTTAGTGTTGACCCCACGTTGATATTTCCTATTCGAGACCCGACCAGCCGTGTTACGGGTGAGTTTTGCCGGTGAACCGCAACCGGAAGTAGCGAATCTTCTACAAGTCGGGTCAGTTTGGGTAGTACCGTTAGTCTGACAGTCACCACTTTTGCCGTTAGCTCTGAATTTATTCTCATCGTGGCACGCCGCTGACGCGCCATGTGTTTTACCGTAACCCTGCGGTTTCTTTAGCCCCACGGTATCGTCTTGGTTTTCATAGGAGGATGCCGAATTCCTGGAACTGTTTCCGGTTCGTTTCCTCAGCACTGGAATCAAGCTTCTGGAACCACCGCTTTGATTGGCGCGCCCCATCGCCGTTCTGCTCGAGGCCATGGATCTGTAATGGGTGCTGCAGCGCTCCTGCTCCACAAGACTATACACGCTGTTCTCTTGCTTGTTTCGATTGACGGATCGCATTCTCCTCTCGCGGTAGGTCGTGTACGATTCCGGTATTCCCTCTGCCAAAAGCCTGGACATGTAGATATGAAGGTCCATTGGGCTGATGGTCTGAGTCTGGTAGACGGCGTCGTTTCTGAAGAAGTCGTCAGCAAGCTTTTTCTTGTGATAGATTTCTTTGATAAACTCCACCGACGACAGAGAGTGAGACTTGTGTAAAACGTTCCGCTGCACAGCAGATCTGGACACCGCAGTCGAAAGCGAGTCTTTTTCGTCACAGGAGGAGTTGTCTCTCCCGAGCCTACGGTAAACCCTCTCTTCGGCTGGATACATTTTATCAGCCATCTCCATCTTGTCTTCCGATTTTTCTTGAAATGTCCCACTCGAATCGAAATGCAGTGATTGTTTCGGATCAGCTAAAAATATCTTCCTCTCATATGTTATCGTCGTATTTTCCGGTTCAATTCGAGCTTGCCTCGGCTTGGTCGCATCGAGTTTGGAACTCATCCCCATCGTGGCGTTCTGGTCAGGATCGGCCACTCCCGCCGGCTTCTCCTGAGAGTGGGTTCGACTTGATTCGCTGTAAGTCTTGGCCTCCGCGTTTGTCCTGCAGGGCCTATTACCTGAAATCACGGGAGCCTCATTGGCCCCGCTTTTTGTCTTATGGAGAACTATGGGCGGATCCCTGATGCATCGTATTTGTTTGGAGTCGCGTCTCATCGAGGTGTTTCTTTGAATTCTGACGTGAGACGGAAGGCTGAACGCCTTGCCATACTCGTGGAGACCGCCATATTTCCTAGCGAGAAAATTCAGAAAATGGTGTTATAAAAGAAATAACTATACAATTGCTTTTTAATATAGCCGCTTTCATTTTACTCAAAAGAACAGAATATATGGTGGTTTTGAAATACCAGCTGCTATTTCACTGTGCAGATACAAGTGGCTCTCGTAACCATCTCAGGCAATAATTTATATATATTAATAAACATTTTTGTCACTTTCTTAGTGTGATTATGTTTTTTTTTTTAAATTTTTTTTTTTTTTTACAATTTATGCATTTTGAAATGATTTTTTAAAAAAATCTAGTTCTCCACTACAATATAAGCAATTTTATAAAAATATCAATAGCCTTGGTGTAACCCTCCAAGTTAGTCCTTATCATGCCGCTGAATAAACATTGAGAAATAGCTGTCTACATATTTGACATGTGTATCGCTCTAATACACAGTGCCAGGTAACCATATATATACGATAGGTGTGATGCGTTATGAACTGCCAAAGAAAGCTAGAATATTCTTTTATACATTGCCATTTTTAAAAAAAAAAAGCCATCAACGCTTAAGAAGAAATCACTTGAACAACAACAACAACAACAACAACAACAACAACAACAACAACAACAACAACAACAACAACAAAAAATAGCAAGAAAGAACAAAACCATCCTTTACGTGAAGGAAAAACGTCAATACTTAAAATAAATGTGTTAATACCAGAGCACTTATTTGAGCAATTGTGGGATTTGAAAACAAAGAAAATAAAGTAATAGTTTGGCTGCAACGAGTCTTACAGATGATGAAACCGCTGAAGGCCTTTGAATGCTTTCGTCTTGGCCAAATCTGTAGTGGAAATAAGATCAATTTTAACAGTGAGGAGAACTTATGATGGTCAATTAAAGACAAAGTTGGTAATTTAAAGACAACCATGGTCGTTTAAAGACAAAGATAGTCATTTAAAGACAACGATGCACACTTAAAGATAATGATGGTCATTTCAAAAGAATAAGACACACACAACTTGTGTAGATAAAACAATATATGTTAAGCACAATTAATGATTACGAAGAATACACATTTTCAACAAATGCCTTCACCAGTCCAAAAAAAAAAAATCATTAAATAATTCATTTAAGTATTAATCAAATTTACATTATATATATATATATATATATATATATATATATATATATATATATATATATATAGATAAATATAAAAAAAAATATATATAAATAAAGATAGATAAAAATACAGTTAGATAAATATATAGATAGATTGATAGATAAGTAGATAGATGATAGATAGATGATAGATAGATAGATAGATAGATAGATAGATAAGTAGACAGATATATCGATAGAAAGGTAGATATATGTGTATATATATATATAGGGGTGTGTATGTTATCTAAAAATTACGGTTATGAATAAGAGTGGACACAAGTCAATCATAAAAGGAAAATAAATCGCTCAGGAGAACGGAGAGGAAGTGGATGAAGCAAAATGTAAAAAAAAAAATTTGAAGACAAGATGGACAGAAACAGAATTTTAGAATTCTATATAGAAATAATTTAACTAGATATATCACTACTAGAAGATTAAAATCAAGGGGTGTAATGAAAGCGGAAATTTTGAGTCTTTGAGCCGCGTAGAAATGTTGAGAGAAGTTATGTGCATTTAAAAGCCGAGCCGTCACGTGACTTTTGGAGAGGAGGAAAAAAAAGGGGGGGGGCCTCTTCCACTTTCCGGGGTTTGTGCCTCCTGCACCCAAAGGCGACTGTTCATTATTTTCCGTACATCCCAACTTTGGTCCTTTTAAATTTCCGAGGGCCCTTGCGGCCGCACGGGTTGCAGGGCCCACGCGACGGCTTTTAAAATCCTGTCTCGTTCAAAGGGGAGTCGGCCTGTTGGACCCGGCTCTCAAAACTGAGAGAGCCTCATATCGGTGAAGGCCTTACATTTACTAAAAAATGCTTATCTGAAAATCAATTGGCTCTAGATCATTTAAAAAAAAAATTATAATGAAAAATATAAATACATTTTTCAGAAGCTCTCAAAAAGAATAGCGACCAGGGGTCTTTCTCGATCTCTAAAGTAGTTTAAGTAGCTCAGGAAATAATTACGGCTATGCCGAAGATTATTACCATACATAAAGAACTGTTGACATAGGGGTCACAACTTGCCTGAATGAGAGGTCATGTCCAGAATTCTTGACGTGTCATTTCCGACTGCCTGAAAATCAATGAAAAAATTAGACCGCATTCAGTGCACACAATATTAGGTGAGATGTCAAATGTTCAGTGTTGGTTCATATGTTCAATTATGAACAGCTACTCAATAGGAATATGCTACGCATGTTGATGTGTGACGTATACAGATATTGTTAATTTAGTATAAAAAATGGAACAACAATTTAAATAAAAATGCTTCTATGTTAGACCAAGATGGTCTTAAAATCATATTTTATGAAAGGGGGCTGGGAGTTTACTATATAAAATAACCCTCATTTCTATCATAAAACTCTGGCAGTTTCCGACTGTTTAACTATTTTTGCACATCCCTCTCTTAAGTCTAGAATAGGACGAGAATAGTCTACACATTACAGACCCTCTACCTTTTTAAAGTGTTCACTTCTGTCCCGTGACCAGGGCACTTATCTTTTGATTTTATAAGTCAATGCCTTAACTGTTTTCTCTCTCTCCTCTGTCCCCCTCTCTTACTTTCTATCTCTATCCCCTCTCGCTGTCTCTCTCTCTCTGCTCTCTCTCTCCAATCTCGTTTGTTCAGAGATAAAAAAAAACCAACAAAACCCTTTAAATTAACTCCGCTGTTGTCCTACGTTCCTCGTCTTCGAAGTTTTATATTAAAATATAAGTAAACAAAAAGGGACATTTTAACTAAGGAGTGGGAAACCTACGTCCCGTGGGCCACATGCGGCCCGTTGAAACGTTTAATGAGTCACAAAAGCCTTTGAAAATTAATAATCTCAGCTTATAATTGGACGAGTAATCATAGAAAATAAACAGAGTAAATTCCGATGCCATTTGGTGAAATGGACCGGAATGAATTTTCCAAGTCATTCTCAAAAGACGCATTTGCCGTTTATCTAAAAAAATATTACGCGGCACGCAAAATAATGTAAAAAATTTCGGAGCAGCTCTCTGCACAAAAAGTTTTTCCCACCCATGCTCAATACACGTTACAGAGATGAATGAAAATGTTGTCGTAATTCTGGTAAGTCTTTTGATGGGGTCAAAAGTACTTTCATACTTCCATAGTAATAACAGATAGGTCCCATGTTTTTCTTGGAGGAAAACAGTATTCTTTTTAACTTAATACATCAGGCTTACCTGTCGCGGTCTAGGCCTGTCTCAGACGTAATACACCAAGCTTACCTGTCGCGGTCTAGGCCTGTCTCAGACGTAATACACCAAGCTTACCTGTCGCGGTCTAGGCCTGTCTCAGACGTAATACACCAAGCTTACCTGTCGTGGTCTAGGCCTGTCTAAGACGTAATACATCAAGCTGTCTCAGACGTAATACATCAAGCTTACCTGTCGCGGTCTAGGCCTGTCTCAAACGTAATACATCAAGCTTACCTGTCGTGGTCTAGGTTGTCTCAGACGTAATACACCAAGCTTACCTGTCGTGGTCTAGGTTGTCTC